AAGTGGTGGCAAGCCGGTTGACAGAGAGGCAGCGGGGCGGGGCAGAATTCCGGAGGCCTGAATCATGCATGACATCTAAGCCCCCCCTTTCACCTCTACTTCCTGCCCACTTTCTGCACAAGCAGGGTAAGCTGGGGTGTGACACATGTAACTTCCTTAGGATGAAATTGAGGAAATGGACTGTACGGGGAACAGGCTGGGGGACCCTTTCTTTAGAGGACCTAAAGGGCTGAACCTCAATCTTGGAGAGTGGGAGCTGTGGCCTTCATTTAGGTGGACTAAGTGGGGCTTTTTCCATTGGAGGAGATTGTGAATAAGCAATTAACAAGTTTTTCCCTTTGGTCTTTCGACCTACAAAGTTTTTATTCCCATTTCTCTTACAAAAAAGAGAAACTCCAATCTCCCTTCTGCTGGATTCTGGACCCTAAGAAGTCTGTGGTTTTCTAGAAAGTGGGAAGTGGATGACTGGAGCTCTGTGCCCTGGCCAGACCCTCTGACTGCCCTAGGGTCATCTAGCTCAGGGCAGGCAGAGATGGTTTCAGAGGGGACTGTAGCCGGGGCTGGGGGTTCCATTACTAAGTTTCTAAGCCCTTTGCCTAAGACAGCGCTTTTTTCCAAAGACTTGACTGTACTGTGTATCCTGCACGTTACTCAACAGGCTCTCCTTGCTGTCACTGTTACACCGGCAGCTTCACTCATGACCTTGTTTTCCCGAGGGGTGTGCTTGCAGGCTGTCTGTTCCTTTTCAAATGGGGAATTAGAAGATGCTTTCAAGTACTAAGATGAAAAATTTTGGAAAGTTATTCAAGAAACAGATATAGGGGACACTTCTGGGGCATTACACTGGAGATCCATTTTGTATACATATCTACTTTTCTGAACGTTTCAATTCCATCTTTCCCCTTTTATTTATTCCCTAGGTTATTCAGGAATTTTAAATATTGTAGTACACGCCTATGAAGCCACCACCCCAAACAAAAGCTAAGATCTTTCTAATACTTTACATTTAACTCTATGCTTCCCACACTCCCTCACATCCTCCGCCCCCCACCCCGCACCCAAGATAATCGATAATCTCCATCTGAAACGCACTGTTCTCTGGCTTTCTTTATTACAGAATCTTATTGCAGCAAATAGATTCCTAAAAACTATGTGTTTTTACTGTAGTTGTTTTACGTTTTATGAAAAGGGAGTAATGTCTTATGTAAAATTTTGCACTTCTGTGTGCTAGTTACTATTTACTAAATTATTGAAGTTCATCCAGTTGATTGGTTCATTCATTTTGCCTGCTGTCTAAATGTTTTACCCAGAGCATTTTTTACATTTTAATAACAACTAGTTCACATTAAAAAAAAAAACCTAATGTAATCATCAGAAAGGACATCACATGTATTCACAGATTAAACGATGTGTTATGTCCTCCTTCAGTGGGAAATAAGAGTTCTGTCCTCTGAACTGTCTGATCTTTTTGGACCCTGGATTTTCGGTATCTGGGCTTTACACCTGAATGTATGCTTTCTCTCTTGTTCTGTTTTCTAAGAAGTCAAGCTCAATGGAGGTATTAGATGAAGTGTAGCATACCAGAAATAATGTGTAGGACCGTAAAAAGCATTACAATTTGCATTATTTGTGCGACTTTACATCTTAAATATACCAAGCGATGTTTTCTGCTCCTGCTTTTCTGTGTTACAGAACTCATCGTGGCTAAGCACCCAGCATTTCCTCTCCCCTAGACCCTTGTTGTGGGGGGAAATCTTTTCTTCTAAACTCTTATGTTTAATTCTTGAAGGCTTGTGAATTAAACTGGCAAAATTAGCAAGAGACAAGACAAAAACTAATCACATAATTTTATTAATGTATGTAACAGGAGTTCACCGAAAAATGTGACTCCAGGGGATGGTTAAACTCTGGGGCTTATAGACCATCTTACGAGGGAAAGGGGCTGGGGAGATGGGCACTGAGAAGAAAGCAAATGACTTTCTGAAAAGATAAAGAGCCCATAGGAGAAGAGCTGGGAGATTTAAAGCTTTGTGACAACGTCTGTTTAGGTGCAGTGTGGAGACTTCCCCTTTCCGTGGCCCCTAGGGAGGGGATTTATGACAACTGAATTTTTTTGTTCTTTGGGGAGGCTTTGCTTTTAGGCAGATAAGAAATTTCAGGAACTCAAATGCCTTCTCAAAATTATTTTAATGCCACCGTGGTGTATTTGTATTCCGGATCTGTTCCCCACGCCTCCAACCTGTAGCAATAAATTGTTCACAACATTGTCACAAACATTTCTAAATTACCTCAACTCCCCTCTGCCGTTCATAACGTGTGTTTGGTCAGGTATGGGGGGCGCCCTTCTTCATTTATAATTCTAAACAGCATTTGACAGTTTTATGCAGATCAGTGCTGAAGAAATTATTTCTCATAGCTACGGCAACCGTGGGAGAACTGTCTGGAAGGCCGCTCTAGGGCCTCCAGGCTTTCCCCCGAAACAGGTTTCTCCAGGTCCGCTTTGCCCAGCGGCCAGGCCCTTCCGCCCAAGGAGGCACATGGGGTGACGCAGACGTTTGGTAACGTAGATGCTCAAAGGGGAAAGTTGGCTCTCTTCCCTTGGAGGGGGCTGTGGGACGGCAAGAGATAAGAAGTTCCTGGGAAGAAAAGTACCAAAGAGGAACAGCGAGAGGATGAAAGACTTCAGATAAGGGGCCAATGAGAAAAGCATTTCTGCCAACATTGCGAGAAGGGGAACCAATAAAAGCAAGCTTGCTGTTCGGTCACGACTGAAAACAACTGGACAACAAGACACGTAAGTTTTGTGGCAGTTTTGTAACAGTGAGGGCAACCCCAGGGGTGATTCCTGCTGCAGTCCAGGATGCCCAGAGAAAGTCACCTGTAGGGGACCAGGGAAGACACTTTCCCCTGGGCGCATTCGGAGCTACCAGGATGCTCCCTGACCCCCAAAGCCTCAGTTGCTCTTTGTGACCTGCACAGGGGTCCTAAGTCACAGCAGAGGCAGGAAAGCCTTCCTGTGCTCCAGAACACTTCCATCCCCAGGGCCAGACCAGCCCTTCTTTTTAAGGGAAGGATTTGCTTAACTGAGCAGAGCAGACCTGATGATTATTGTGAGATGATGGGCTCCATAGCTCCTTGAACCTCTGCCTTTAGACACCCACCAGCTCTTGTACTTCCTTCACCTCATTAGCCTTTGGGTTGTGAAGAGAGACTTACAGACCATTCTTACGCCTGCACCGTTGTGATTGCTGGCATCCATCAGTGGTGGAGAGGAAGGGACAGCCTCTCCCAGCTTACCCATAGTCCTTTAATGAATGTCAACTGTAAAAGTGATAGGTAGTAGGATTCCAATTTTGTTTAAAAAGGTTATACACATGCACACATGTGGATCAAATTCTCTGCCTCAAAAACATTGGTTGGAAACACCTGAAATACTAGAAATATTAGTTATTATTTCTTGGTTTCTGAGTTGTTGGGTAAAACGTGGTTTCAACTTTTTTCTTGATTCTTTCCTTCATTTTCCAAAATGTAAATTGAAGAGGTTTCTAATTCATTTTTCCGTCAGATAAAACTGCAGGCTTTGCTTTTTGGTTCAGAACACAAATGCTAAGGTCACCTTCAGTGCCCATGGCTGGGGATTTCCTCTAGTCTCTGCTGACCACATGGAAGTTGTGTTTCTTATTTCTTTTCTTTTCTCAAGCCACCGTGCAGGCACCAGACTTCAATGGCAAAGAAGAATAACAGCAACTATTGTTTATCAAGAATTTTAGCCAGGATTTCCCCAATCTGCTCCTTATTTCTTCAGTCTTGTGGACTTCCTCGATTAGAAGTTTTTCTCAAGGATTTATGCAGATGCAATGTAAAGCATTGATTCCATCATATTTTTTTAGCTTTTGGTTCCAAATAGAATATCTCATATCATTCCCAAGGAAATCAGTTCTATCAAATCACATTGTTAATTCATAAAGGTCATTTGACTCTTCAAATGGAAAAGTGTGGGAATCTAGTAGGTATCGCCAAAGTTATTGTTTAATGTCCCATCTTAGCATGTGGACCCGAACCAGTTACACTCAATCCAGTGGAGGTACATTTAATTTTGCATGAATAAGGGCAGCATTTGCAAAAGCACTTAACAGAACATGGCTTTCATACTCAGTTCCGGCATCTTTTGCTCTTCTTTTAAGGTTGGGAAGAAAAGGGTTTCAAGCACACATTGTAGACGAATGTGTTACATACTTTAAAGTGGAGGGAGCATAAGTTGTCATTATGATAATGTTAATAGCGCTTTCGTGTGCTACATTTTAGTTGACATTAAATCTTAATTGAGGAAAATCTAAAATTAATCTTCGTAAGAAACAAGACCAGAGTGGCTAATCAGGTTTGGAAGTGAGACTAATTGTACCATAATCAGATTGATGGACTGTTAAATATTTGATGTGAAAACCATGTCATGAAATAATAAGAAAGAATCTATGCAGAAGTCCCCTTGAATTTTCCCCTTGTCCTTTTATTTCACAGTTTGTTCAAAGGCTTATTAGGTCAGCTTCAAAGCACAGATCCAAGATCTCCACCAGCTGGTAACTTTTATTTTTTAATCAGCTCAGCTTTGAGAATTGCAAAAAAAAGAGTCATTCTTTATCACTTATTTGCCTGGGGTAAGGTAGGGCAGCGATGCTGGGCGGGGGTGGGAGTGGGGGGCTGAAGCCCCTGCTGGTTCTGATGCTTTGTAGTTAATTTTATTTTTTTTTAAATTAAGGTATCATTGATACACAGTCTTATGAAGGTTTCACATGAGCAACATTGTGGTTACAACATTCACCCATATTATCAAGTCCATCGGCGTAGTAAGATGCTATAGAGTCACTACTTGTCTTCTCTGTGCTGTACTGCCTTCCCCGTGGCCCCCCTACATTACGTGTGCTAATCTTAATGCCCCTTAATCCCCTTCTCCCTCCCTCCCTCCCCACCCACCCTCCCCAACCCCTTCCCTTGGTAACCGCTAGTCCCTTCTTATTTTGTAGTTAATTCTCAAGTCTGCTTATGGTTAAATTGTTGCTTATTACGGTGTGTGGCAGAGAGACCTTGCAGAAATGGGACTGGGGACTTGGTAGAATAGGATAGGTCTGAGCAGCAACTCATCGGCCATTCATCAAGGTTAAGTCCCTCCATCATGCCTCCAGGGGCGGTCTGTCTGCTCGGGGCATGGCTCCCCGGACGCCCCAGCCTCGGGAGCTTGGGGTGGGACCAGGCGGTGCACGGAACGCCAGTTCAGCTTCTGCTTCTCTCCTGTACGAAGCAGAAGTCAGACGTAGGGGTCCTATGGGAGGACCCCACGAACTCACATCAGACTAAGAATCCCAAGACCAGGCAAATCCACGCGAAGAGAAACGGGCAACGTCACTAGTCCCGTGACCAGCTCGCGCTCAGGGCTCCGGAGTCTTGTTTCGCGTGGGTTGTTGGAGCAGGCAGGGCTCTGAGCTGGATTCAAGCTTTAAAATGGTGTTGAAGGATCCGGTATCCAGTCACAGAGCGACTAAAACAGCCAGGCTCAGAATCTGGATAGAAGCTGTTTTTTGTTTTTCTTGCCACTCCCTTTGGCCCCAACCCCCAGACTCCCAGCAGGTGAAAAATTGCATGGAGGGCACATTTTAACCCAGAATTTTGAAAAGAGATTTAATGAACTGAAAAAAAAAAAAAGGCCCAAACTCATTAGGTGGCACCAGGCCCCCCCTGAGATCCTGTGTCCCGGAGGCCGAAGTTTGAGCTGCTTCTTGCTGCCCCCACCTCTGGCCTCTCTGGGGGCTCTGCTAGGGCAGGTGTCAAGGCCTGTGTTTCCCCCTCGGGCACCCTGAGCTTCTCAGGCCTCCGGGCGGAGGACCCCCTCCTGTTAGCACAGCCCAGTTGCCCCCCCCCCCCCACTCTGCGCCCAGCCCAGCGGGTCTCCCTTGCAGGAAGCCAGCCCCCATGACTGCCTCCCCGTGTGCGCAGGACCTGCCTCACTGTACAAGGGGGGCTCTGCCTTGGGAGCCCCCCGTCCCAGAGTCTGGCCAAGGACAGAAGCGGAGATGGCAGCAGAGGCGTGGGCCTCCGGCTAGGACCCCCAGAAGACCAGGCTCCCTGCCCAGCCCACCAGCACCGCCTTCCACCCTGCCCTTCCCACCTCCCTCCCACCCAGCCCTGAGGGCAGGTGCGAGAAGGAACTTCACTTCCAGATCGTCTCCGGGGAAGGGCGAGTAGGGCAGGCGGCACAAATGCACAGGGGCAGCGTCAGCATGACGCCCGCCCGAAGCTGTGCTTACAGCCCTGGAGGCAATCCGTGCTGGCCAGACCTTCCCCCCAGGCCCCTGCACTTGTGTTTCATGGGGCTGAGCAACTCAGTGAAGCCCTTTAAACATGTATTGAAACATTTAAAAGAAATGAATATTTGTTACAGAAAACACATGAAAATAGAAAGGGAAAGTTTCCATTCACCTTCTCCCGCCCGCACCCCCCTCCCCGGGAAACGCTGCTGACCTTTGCAGTGGGTCCTTCCTGGCCTCTTTCTGTGCCACGTGAGTGCAGAGCAATTAGGGGTTTGAAGCGAACTGTTATGCCCCCAAACGTGGGAACCAGAAGCTTCCTGGGCATCCAGATTGTGCCACCAGGTTATTCATGCCAAGGCCTGTAGACATACGTCTGTCCTTTGCATTCTTTCCCCTTTCCTCTTTAGCCCATGTGAAACTGTAAGGTCCGACTGAGAGAAAGTTATACGTCAATTATGCCTCCATTTAAAGAAAAAGTAAAATCCTAACGAGCATGTTCAAAGAGAACCTTCCCTTGCTCAGAAACCCCCACACATCCATATTCTTCGTATTAAACGTTCCCCGTTCCCCGTCTGCAGCCCGTCTCCGTCTGTGCGACCCACTGGAGTGACCCCTCAGCAAGACGCATTAGTAAGGCTCGGGGCTTCCGATTTCAGCCGGCCTTGTGTGTTCAGCGTGTACGTCTGGATACCTAGAAAACAATTCTTAATGATTAAAAAGAAAAAAAAAAGAAAAGCAGTGACCTTTCCCATGCTGCAGATTCCCAAAACTTCTTGTGAAACAACTGCTTTGCCAGCTTCCTCATTTGGTCGCTCCAGGGTGGAAACGGTTACGATCTGGGTTTCCTACATTCCGTGCTTTTTGCAGGGTCACCCAGCCTGCGCGGAAGGTGTGGCGGAGGTGGTCTCTTTGTCATCAGGGGGCAGACCCAGCACTGCCTTTTATCCAGGGCCGCCGCTCCTGGGAGAGGAGCCCATGCGTGCCTGCCTCTCTGGGTTCCAGCCCTTCGGCTGAGAGGGGAGGCCTGTTCAGGTCGGGTGGCCTTCCGTGTTCACTGCTGTTCTCAAGGGGCGAGACCCAGGGAGGGGGGACCCTCAGCTCATTGCCTAAGTAATTTCTGAAAAGGCTTTTGAAAATAATGACAACCCAAAGATTCCTCAAGGGAGGAACAACCTAAGACAGGCACAGTCGCAGGGGGGCCATCAGGTGAGAAATTGGGGATCAACAGAGGTGAGGCTCAGAACCTCACCCCCCCTGCTTTGAGAGAAATCTTCTGCATCCGTGGATGTCTTGCTGCCCTTGTCTAGCCTGGATTAATACTTAGTCCATAGGCACACACCTGATCATCTGATCATCTACATTTGCCCTCTTACAGCACTAAACTATGTTTTCTACCTTTATCTTGCATCTACCTACCACTTCAGCATTTTATTAAAAATAAAAAAAATAATAATAATAGGAGAAATGTGGGATCAACATATAAATCAAGTACAAAAATCAAACGAATATTCATATTTGACCTGATTGTTTATAGGTCATATTGCATGATCAAAACCGAAAGTTTCTGTGATGAATGCCCTTGTACTGTTCACCATGTAAGAATTTATTCACTATGTAAGAATTCGTTCACCATGTAAGAACTTGTTCGTTATGCTTCAGAAGATTGGAGACTGACGAGAATTAGGCTTGAGATGGATTAATGATTGTACATTGAGCGTTGACCCCCCTATACTGAATTTTATTGTTGTTAACAACCATTTGATCAATAAATATGAGAGATGCCCTCTCAAAAAAAAAAAAAAAAAAAATAATGACAACCCAAAGGAGGAGCTTGCTTCTGGCCTCCTGTCATCTAAGACTTCCAGGGCCAAGTGAAGTCCAGGACCCCTCTGGGTGGTGGACTGGGTTCAGAAGAATCTGGAGAAAAAACCATTGGAAGAGGCTCCCAAGGCAGTTCTGCTACTTCAAGAGCTACTGCTGGGGGAAGCACAGGGTTTTCTAGCATAATCTCCACATTTTATAGACAAAAAAGGGAAGGCGCAGGGAGGGGAGGAGGCTGGCCAGAGGCCTCACAGCTGGAACAAGAGGCCAGGCCTCTGGCTTTCCACGGGGTCCTTCTTATTATCCTGGTTGGCCCTCTGTGCACAACTGGAAACTCCTTTTCCTTGAAGTCTTTGCTTCGGGGTTGTGACTGAAGCCGCCTATACTGCTCTTTCTGCACCATTCACTGTGGGCATTGTGAAAACGATGTTTCCACTAAGAGGTTTATTTTTGGCTGCCAAGTAGTACTGGGAGCTGCCCTGGCTGGTGTAGTGGAGCCGCAGCGGGGAGGGCTCCTTCAGAAGGAGGGTGCGGACTGCGAGCGTGCCCTGCAAGGTGGGCAGGCCTTCTGTGCACAGCCGTGTGCTGCTCTTCAAGTTCTAGGGCCCCAGCGTGGTGCTGCTTTAGATCCGTGGCAGCGTCCACCAAATCTGCTTCAAATCAGTAGGGAAAGATGGACTGTTCAATAAATAGTCTCAGGTTAAATGGCTAACCATTTCATTAAAAAATGCATCTCTGCCTTCTTATTCATTATCCCAAAATAAATTCCAGATGGATCACAAACTTACATGTAAGAAAGTGAAATCCTAAGAGTGTTAGAAATGAACACGACAGCATTAAAAAATGTAATAATCTCACACTGGGGCCAGACTCTCTGAGGTTAAGACACAAAACCTAAGCCATAAAGGAAAAGGCTAGTAAGTCTGACTACACACAAATTTTAATTTCCACATAACAAAGAATTACCATAAAGAAATTCAAAGCAGAAACTTAGGAAAATATTGGAGATATGTATATAGGAGGCAAAGAGTTAATTTGCTGAATGTATTTCCAAAAGATTTTTCAACACCATAAGAAAAGGCCCTGCAAGTCATTAGAAAAATGGGCAAAGGACAGCTAGAGGCAGACAAAAGAAATACAAATAATTTATAAACATAAAGAAAAATGGCCAAGCATGTGAATAACTAAAATAACAGCAAGACAATGTTTTTCACATATAAGACTGTCAAAGATCAAAAGTGTTTTCTAATAAACAGTTTAGGCAAGGCTGTAGGGAAAGAGGCACTCAGACACAGTTGGGAGACATGTAGGTTGGCACAACTTCTTTGGAGGGAAAATTGACAATATTGATGAAAATTTAAAATTCAAATATATTTGACCTAAGATTTCTTTGTGAGAATTTACTCAAAGAGATTTAGGTACAGTGATGTTCATTACAGCACCATTTGTTACACAAATAATTGGAAATCACCTAAATGATTTTCAATAGTGAGCTGGCTGAATGAATGAAGACCTCCCTGGATGGAATGCTGTGCCCCGTATAGACAGACATACACCTCCCCACAGGTGAAGGACATTTGTACCGGCAGTCGTCACCCTTGTAAGTTGCAAAAGATGGAGGGGACCACTCCGGGGTCCTTCAGCAGGGGTCTGGCTGAGTAGGCTGATAGGGACCTGACGTGGTGGGCAGTCGTCCCAAGATAAGGTGTTGCGAGACAGGTGGGGGCAGGTGGAGGGTTTTGTGCTATTCGTGTAGTAATCGCGGGGCACACATGTTCGTATGTGCTTTCACCACCTTGGGAAGAGATCGCAGCAGTGTTGGTGTGCCTGCCTCTGGGGAGAGGACCACAGTGACTGGGGAGTAGGCAGAAAGGGGAGCCCCACTTTCCACCATCTATTCATTTGTACCTGAGACCTGTATGTCACATTCTTAAATTATTGCTGGTCCCCAAATCTTCTGTTTATGTGGGTTCCCTTTATTGCTGTTGCCCATGAACACACAGGCACATTCCATCACCCACCAGGGTGCTGCTGACACCAGGGCAGTGGGAGACCTCTGAAAATCTCCCTGATCGCTAGTGAGGTGAAGAGTGAACACAACAGCATGTTGGTCTTCTTACGAACATAGTTTGGGCTTCAGGACCCCCACCCCCACGGGTCCTTGGACCAGGCTGAGCACTGGTGCTACAGAGAATGAAACAGTCGCTTGATAGATGGTGACGACACCAAGCACACTGACTAGTGATCTTGGCACCAGGACCAGCCAGTGTCCCCTGGAAGGCCTGTTGTCTCCCTGCGCCTTGGCTGATGATGAAGGTCAGTGGGCCCCCTCGGCCTCTTCCCCTCAGCGGCCTGCTCCCTGGCTGTGGTGTCAGCACGTGTGCCTGTGCATGGCTGTCTTAGAACATGCTGCACCCAGGCGCCTTCTTTCCTCACCCTGGAGGCAGGCCTGTGACCACCTGGCCTGGAGGCCCGGTCCTGGCCTCCTCAGGGTCAGTGGGAGCCCAGCCAGGCTCCTTCTGCGCTCGCCTCTAACCTGTCCTCAGTATTGCGGTTTCTGCCTCAAGCTGGTGGCGTCATAGAAGGGAAAGAGGAGGCATCTCCAAAGGTCTGGACCAAGACGTGGAGGAATGAGAGCCCAGGGAGGTGGGATAGGAAGAAGTCTAGTTTTCATTTTTCCAAGGAAGACATACGGATGGCCAATAGGCACATGAAAACATGCTCCACATTGCTAATCATTGGGGAAATGCAAATCAAAACCACAGTGAGCTATCGCCTCACACCAGTCAGGACGGCCACCATCCAGAAGACAAGAAATAGCAAGTGTTGGCAAGGATGTGGGAAAAAGGGAGCCCTCTCTCACTGCTGGTGGGATTGCAAATGGATGCAGCCACTGTGGAAAGCACTATGGAGTTTTCTCAATAAACTAAAAAGATAAATACCATATGACCCAGCAATTCTATTACTTGGAATTTACCTGAAGAAAACAAAATCACTAATCTGAAAAGATATATGCACCCCTGTTTATTGCTGCATGATTTACAATAGCCAAGATAGGGAAACAACCTAAATGTCCATTGATGGATGGATTAAGAAGATGTGGTATAAATACACAGTGGAATATTACTCAGCCATGAAAAAGACCAAAACTTGCCATTTGTGACAACATGGGCAGACCTAGAGGACATTATGTTAAGTGAAGTAAGTCAGACAAATACCATATGATTTCACTTATATGTAGAATCTAAATAACAAAACAAATGAGCAAATAGACAAAACTGGAATAGACTCACAGACACAGAGAACAGACTGATGGTTGCCATGGGGAAGGGCAGTGGGAAGATGGGCAAAATAGGTGGAGGGAAAATAATTAGTGAGAATGTTTGGTATCTTGATCTGGGTGATGGTTACATGAGTGTATACACATGTTAAAATCTACCAAGCTTTACACTAGATTTATGCATTTTATTATATGAACCTCAATATAAAAATAAAAAGATAGAAATAAAGAAGTCCACCTTTGACCAAATCTTACTCTGAGTACTTTACTGGCATTTGCTGACAAACCTCACACCCACACTCTGAGGTGGCTGTTATGACCTCTGCTTTATAGATGAGGTAGCCGAGGCTCAGAGAGGTTAGTTCGCCTACGCAGCTAGTAAGCTGTGCAGCCACGCTCTACTCTGACTCAATGTCCATGGTCTTGGTCATTTGGTAATACTGCCTGGGAGCCCTCACCCGGAAGGTTCCCCTTGAGTTTCAGATCCTTGCCCGACCCAGTTTTGGAAGGAACCTTCCAGAAACACCTATCTTTTGGGAGATAGGACAGTTGAGAAAAATGTGATGGGGCAGGTGATGGGACATGTGCCTTTTCTGAATTCTTGACCAAGTTTTATTTGCAGGTAATTCTATACAAAATGAATCAGATTGAGCCTCACGACTCCCATTATCGCCTCCGGGGAACTAAGGAATTTAGGTTCAGGTCAGGGACACGACTGAGAAAATGTGAAATCAGCTGATCCTCAGGGTCTCTGGGACTATGTATTGGTTTTTGGTTGCTGTGCGACTTCCGCAAGTCACTGACTCACTGTGACATTTAGTTCCTTGTAAAAACTTTCGGCCAAGAGTTTTTTTCTC